TACGGCCACAAGAAGCAGCAGTCGAAACCTGAATAGTTGAGTCTCCTCCTCTCTGGAGATCAATTTCTTAAGCGAGATCAATTTCTGATACACCCCTTTCAAGGATAGCATTAGGGACGGAATAGAAGCTTCAGATTTGGGACTCCAAACGAAGTCAGTAGATGAACGTGCAGAACCATATCTTTAAAAGTTTTTTTAAAAAACAAAACATTCATTTCTTCTGCTTGTGCTTTTTCTTTTGCATATGCTCTGTCTTTTCCCAGACCTTTCTCCACCTTATTAGGAAGCAATTTCGTTTCTTCTCTATGGCGTTTGAAAGTAGGCTGTGAAATAAATTGCAATTAGCCTCGCAGGGGGCTTCTCATTCGGAACTGGCCAGTACTTGGACATGAGACTTTCAGAGCATTAGACTGGAAAGTTTAAGAAAAAAAATCTTGAAGCAAGGCAAACTACTTTCATATTATTCCCAAGAAAACATGAAACTATCCATGTAGACGCCAGAAGTTGAGCTGGTCTTAAGAGAATGTACCTAAGCAGGTGCTAACACGTTTGAAATAGAAGATAAAAAATGAGAAAATCTGGGGTGCAAGGAGATTGTAAGCACCCCAAATGCCTATTTGGCTGTATTTGCACAACATTGTTACCAACGATTAATGGGACCGTGCCTTTTGTAACCTAATATTTTGGGTTAATGACCACAAATAGTTACACAGGATGGGTTCATGCAACATGGTAAGCTAAAATGTGAATATAGCTAGATTGTGCACTTTGGCACCAAAAAAAATAGATGAATTCTTAAACCTCTTTGACTAAAGATCCCAGTGCTATCAATTAAATGAAACCATTTTACTGTTGCCTTCTTGAAGGATTTTTCATGGCAAACAAAATAACTGAGGATGTGGTAAAAGAAGGTTCCATATGAAGAATATTGTCTCAACCATTCTTCCATTGTTTTTTTCAAAGCTAATCTATTAAGCACTATGACATTGGTTTGGTTATGCTAATTCATATATCTGGAATTCTAAGTATGAGAAATATATTGTGCAATTACTCTTATTACTTGTGAATATCTTGGGTGTGTGTGTGTGTTAAACAATAGTTTCTTCTATTTGTAACAACTTTTCATCCTTCCATCTTCTTTTTCCTTCCAATAGTGAATATATTTCCTTAAATGTATTAAGAGGGAACGGCAGTATGATATGTATACTACCCTGGAAGATTTAATACAGAAAAGCAATGTAAAAGAAGGGGCAACTGAAAAATGATTCAGATTTAGGGCCTGTAATAGTTTGTTTTAGGCATTGCCCGAAGATACATCTGAATCTATTTTGATTTACTACAATTTGTTATAAATCAGCAAAGATTCCTGTCTCTTGTTTCTAATAGTGACAAAATGTTTCAAATGTCTATTACTTTAATTTTTATTCCATCTTTATTATCTTTTAAATGCCGAACATACCTAATAATCCTTCCTCCTATTTCCCTCACAACAACAATCCTATGAAGTGAGTTGCCCTTCATGCCTTACGTAGGACTAGAATTCACGGTCTCCTGGTTTCTAGTCTGGTGCCTTAACCACTGGACCAAACTGGCTATAAACTGCAGAAACTAAACTGTTTGGTCTGTATTAAGTTGGATTTTTACATTAAAGAATTATAACTGTGAGATCTACTCAGTTACTCAAGATCAGGCATGTGAAACTGCCGGCCCTGCAAGCTGGATGCGTCACGCCAAAACTGCGCCCACCCCATTGCCGGCAATGGGGAAAAAGTCATGATATGTCGCACGATGTCACGTGATGTCGTGAGTTTGACATGCCTGCTCAAGATGATTTTCTGTGTTCAGAATTCTTAGCTCTGCCACCTTTCTACCAGGTTAGATCACATGAATTTCCTGAAGCACAACATGGATTCTAGAACATTCTAAGACTTTACCTGAGAATAAGTTCCACTGAGTATAGAAATTGAATTGATTCCCAGACATTTTGTTAAATATAGTTTATTTAAGATAATATAATGTATGTGAGCTATTCAGAACTGGTATGAAGCTGGGCAGTGTTCAAATAGAATAAATGAACATGTTTAAATTCAGTGTGATTCAAGGTATACTATTCAGGAAAATGTGTCTTTGGGCAATTTGCAGCCCAATAAGTATATTATTAGCAAAATAGAGAAACTGCAAAAGCCAGTCAGTTGAAGAATTAATTTGTGTATAAAAATTAGAATATGAGTAAATATTCTTTTTCTACATATCCCCCATGTCCCTTGCTTCTTGATTTTAATAGTCTAATTTAGGGAGAGGGTTTCTTTTTTTCCCTGCTGCTGCTAAAATATATGGAGTCAGATCTACTGCAAATCAGCCCAGGTATCTTCTATAGATCCTAATGTTATTTATTCATTTGTATCCTGCCTTTTATTACTTTTACAAATAACTCAAGGCAGAGAACGTGTCCAACACACATTCCTCCTCCTCTTTTCCCCACAAAAATCCTGCGAGGTGGTTTGGGCTGAGAGAGGATGACTGGCCCAAAGTCACCCAGCTGACTTTGATGGCTAAGTCAGGATTTGAACTCACACTTTCCTGCTTTCTAGCTTGCTACCTCATTTATCCTTTGCTTCTCCTGCCTTGGAGTGCTGTCAGTGTTCAACTGATAGCTTTCTGAATAAATCATACGTTACAGAAATATCTAATTTTGGTTCTTTGAAAAAGTCAATACTATACTTATAGAATGTTTTACACAGCGAAAAATGAGATAAATTATAAATGTTTAGCTCAGTAAAATTGCCTCCAAGTCTATACTCACTTTTGGAGGGTGGGGGTTAGGGATTTTTAAAAAACAGATCTGTGAAGCTTTCAGAAATTTATATTTTTTATCTGTAGTTATACAGGCTGCCTACTTCATGATAACCAATATTTATTACCTCAGTCATTCTTCACTTGGCAATCTGTGGCACCAAGGAGGTAGCTAAAGTACAACCTCTGGTCTCTCTTCTTTTTGAGACATATTTCCTTGCACTACTTAATACTAAACCTCAACAATATATGGAGTATCACAGGTTGCCTATACAAAATATCCATGGACACAACTGCAGAAAATTAACTTGAACAATCAAATATCATTTAAATCCAACGTTCATATAGATTTCTACTCCTGAGTCATTTGTTCAAGTTAATGTTAGTATTTCTTTCATTTCTTTTCAGGAAAAGTGTCATAAATCACTTTTTTCAACAGAATAACAGAGTTGGAAGGGACCTTGGAGGTCTTCTAGTCCAATCCCCTGCTCAGGCAGGAAACCCGGCCTATATCATTTCAGTCAAATGGTTGTCCAGTCTCGTCTTAAAAACTTCCACTGTTGAAGCATTCATAACTTTTGGAGTCAGGTTGCTCCACAGATTATTTGTCCTGACTGTCAGGAAATTTGTCCTTAGTTCTAGGTTGCTTCTCTCCTTGGTTAGTTTCCATCCGTTGCTTCTTGTCCTGCCTTCAGGTGCTTTGGAGAATAGCTTGGGCTCTTCTTTGTGGCAACCCCTGAGATATTGGAACACGGCTATTATGTCCCCTCTAGTCCTTCTCTTCATTAAATTAGACATACCCAATTCCCACAACCGTTCTTTATATGTTCTAGCCTCCAGTCTTCAGTGCCATTGTAACTTTGAATAGTCACTGACTGAACTGTTGTAAGTTGAGCACTACCTGTAAAAGATTCATGAAAGACAGCTTAGCACATTGTTTCTCAACCTTGACAATTTTAAGGCATGTGGACTTCAACTCCCAGAATTCCACAGCCAGCAATGCTGGCTGTGGAATTCTGGGAGTTGAAGTCCACATGCCTTAAAATTGTCAAGGTTGAGAAACACTGGCTTAGCAGAAGAGGGCAGAATCTTCAGTCTGTGGCCAAGTGTGCTGAACAACTTGGCAAAGCAAGATTGTTGGTAAATTTCTAAAAGGGCCTGGCTTAAGATTCAAAACACAACGTTTTGCATTACTTTGCGTTTGGTCATACGTTCACTATATTTGGAGGGTTAGGAGAAGGCTGTACCAAAACAGCAAACACTGCTTTAGTCCAAATGGGCTGTGCCCATTATTTTACTTATGAATGCTATTGCCAGTGGCATTATTGCATTGCTTAATGTTCTTATTCTTAGCTTAATGGCAAGGTTTTATGCATGTAAACGAGGAAGAACAGTCTCAAAACGCTGAGTGCAGGCGATAAAAATACGCAAAGCACAAACCGCATTTATTCAGAAGTTACAGAACCACCCCTATACCCACTCAGAAAGAAGCTCGATTCATCAGTGAGGCTTACTCCCACCAGATAAACTGCCACGAAAATGCAACCCAAGCAGTTTAGCACGGAGGAAAATCCCACAGCATTCGGTGGGTCTGTCGCCTCCCTCCCATTAATTGCAGGCACACGCCGGTTTACAGCAAGCGGTACTGAACACAGCTGAAACTCAGACCGGAGCAAGCGTGCCCAAAAGGAGACGGCTGCCACCCACGAGGCACCTCAAGGTGACAAAAGCCCTCAAGAAACCCGCCGTTTCTTCTCCACAAACCCGGGCGCGAGCTTCCGCCGTCGCCGCTCGCGCCGTTTTTGTTTTCTTTGTGTTCGGTCCCGAGCGCCGAGCTTCTGTCCGCCCGAGCGCGCGCTTCCTCCTCGATTTGACGCGCCTGCCCCTTTAAAAAAAAAAAGCCTCCCCCCCTCCTCCCAGCCGCCGTTAGCCCGAGAGCGCAGGGGGCGGGGCGCGTCGCTGAACGGCGTCTCGCCAGGCCAACGGGCGGCGGGCAAGGAGGCGGGCATTGCGGGGGTGTCTGTCGGGTTAGAACGAGGCGTGACCCAGTTGACGCGCGCTGGAAGGAGAGGGGAGTGGGAAGGAGGAGGCAGAGGTGCAAACAGCTGCCGACACCGCCGCCGCCGCCGCCGCCGCCAACGCCACCCCGTCGGTGCCGTCGCCCAGCCGGGTCAGCGTGCTTCTTCCTCGCCCGTGAGCCTGGGGAACCTGCAGCTCAAAGCCGCCGCTAGCCACAGCACCATGTACCCCGGGAACAAGCGGAAAAAGCTCTGGCGGGAGGAGAAAGGTACTGACCTCCTTCACCTGAAAAGCGCCCGGGGCTCCTCGGGCGAGCGGAGCGTTGCAGGGGCGTCCCCCAGCGCCGCCTCTCCGACTCTGGTTTCCTTTCGCCAGGCGTGCGGGCGAAAGATGATGCCGCCGCCTGCTCTCACCTGAGCGACGTTGCCTTCCTCTCGCCTCCGCCGTGTTACCTTGGCAGGACAGCCGCGCTCCTCCCCTTGCTTGCAGCGCTTCTCCTCCCGACTTAGCTGGCCGCTTCCTTCTCTCCGCTGGAGGAGGGCTCCCTTCCTTCTCCGGACCCGGAGTCCGCCTTCAGTGGGGGGGAGTAGGTGGGTGGTGGGACGGCGCCTTCTCTGCACAGCCCTCGCAGCAAGCCTGGTCAGGGCACCCCAAGATAGGGGCAAGGGCAGCTTCGGGTAATCCTAAAGGGCCCAGGCCTCTCTTTGCCACTCAGGTGCTTCGACCTTGGCGAGGGTTCTCGGGTCAGCCTTACCTAGACGGCGTCCAGGATGTCCCCTGATAGGAGCTGATCAAAGCAACAGGGGTGGCGATGGTCTTCCTTTTTGCCTAGTTTTGGTGAAGTCCGTTCTATTTCAGAGTTGGTAATAATCTTCCTCTTAGTTCGTCTCACCGCCTGATGAATCTTTTGTTTCTTTCTTGGGTAGGGATTATCCCTCTGTAAAAGTTATTTTCTGCTGGGTCATTACTGTCGTTTCTCTTATTCCCCCTATGCATAACAGAGAGCAAGCAAAGCTTATAAAACGTGGGATCTACTTTCACTGAGTTCTGGTTGCAAATTGGGTGCTGACACTATCTCGGAGTTTGGTGTGAGAGTTGGAGTGCCACTTTGGAACCGAAAGTGAGGTTTCTCTCTCTGCTGCCTGTGATTCTTTCTGTTTCAAAATACTTGGAATGGAAGTGTTTTGATAGTTGCTGGCTGAATGAATTTCAACTTGCCTCGCTCGGGGAGCTACCTATTGTGAGGGGGTTGCAAAAAGGTGACAGGACTGCAAAGCCTGGATCTTGGGGCCCTTTGGAAGAAAGTATTTGCAAAAAACCAAACAAACAAACATAACCATTGTTTGTGTATTGTGTGACAGTTGTTGAAAACATCTATTGGATCAACTTTACCCAGTCATTCTAAAGTTGTGAGGATGGATTGCTTTACTTGATAAAATACCAGACCTTCTAATGGTGAGGTGGTAATTATCTTTTTAAAATAAAATATTTAACAAACATTCTTTCATTAAGCTGGAGTCACTCTGTGAGATGGACAGTCTCTAAATTTGACATATAAATAAAATGTTGATACATTTGCTGATATATATCCATCTGGGACCATTTGTCAATCATAGAGCTACTCCTTGTAAATCCATTTTCCCCCACCCAACCTGCCCATCAAATCTGTTTCTGCAGATAGGGAATAGGGAGGAAAATAAAGGATACTTGTACTTTGCAAGTGAAAGTTTCCTTCCATAGTATGGAATGTAGCTTTAAATTTTAGATAAGGAAATTGGACTTTTACAGTTGGTAATTTAATAGAACATCATAAAATTGAGACCATATAGGGAATTAAATAACAATTAAATTTGATACAATGTAATTGTGTTCATTCAGAAAGACAGAATTTTGACTTATTGTATTTTAAACTCTTGTACTAATGATAAAAAACCAAACTGGGTTTGTAAGTTTTGGTGTGAGTTTGACATATGAAATCTACATTGCAAATTCTTATGCTGCATACATACAGTAATATCAGATGCCAGGAAGAATAAAATGATTGATATATAAAGTTCAAATGTCCATCTATCCATAAAGAGAAAAAAAAACCCCAACTATTGACATGTTTTACAAACAGTATCTGTTCTGGATTGACGATTTATCATGCCTTTATCTGTAGATTTAGATTAGGCTGTTTGAACTGTGTAATGTAAACTGGTATAACAGCTTTACAGAATTTATATTGATTGAACTGTAATATGGATTTCTGTTTGGATTACTTCTAACAGAAACTGGATCCTTGCACTCTGAAATGTAAAAAAAAATCCTTTTGTAGTTTGTCACTGGTGCTGTTAAAACTGCCTCAGTTTCTTTTAAAACACATTCTGTACTGCTAAAGTTGAAACCTCTAACTTCATCACAGATAAGTATATTTTCAATAATTTGCTGAGGTGGAAGGGAAATAATTTTTTCCACATAATAATCCTAAGGAATGCTGTGTGAAATGTATCACTTAGTAAAAATTTGGTTGATGTCTAAACATTGTTACAAGAGACAAGAATATAAAAGTGTATACATTAAACTCTAGGTAAGAATGTTTATAATTATAGATTAAATTGAAATGTGCATACATAAAGTATTATCCAAATTACTAATTATTACTAGTTACTTGCATTAAATAAATCTTTTCAGATTAAACAATCTCTTTCAAGCCACAACAGTTTTTGTATTTTATGTGTTTCTAGTGTGATAAAATTATCTTGCAGCCTTGAAGAAAATCTAATCGTGAATGCAAGAGCTTCTTGTAGGATTGCTTTAAAAAACAGTTTATTAGTGCTAGAAATGGGATTGCCTGTACAGATACACAGTATTCATGCTTCCATGGCTACTTCCAGGTAGATGAATGTCGCTGATGACTCAAATTAGCTTTTGTATTTTATCAATTCCATAAGTGCTACACATGTATTTAATCACTTTGATACAGTGGTGGGAGTTACTAATGTATGTACTGTATGCTATTTCTTAAGCAAATATTTAAATGCCTAATGCCAATGGAAGAAAAGTTCTAAATTACAAGGTAACTCTTCATAAAATAATTTCAAAAACTGTTTCAAGTTGTAACAATATAATAGGTTGTGGGATTTGTTAACCATAATATCAAGAATTATCTCTTGGTAGCATTGCAAGCGAGAAGTGAAGATTACTGAAATCTGTGCTAAATCATGTTTAAATGGGCTCAGAATCATTTATATAATTTAAAATTGAGTTAATATCTGCTGTAGAAGAATAACATATAAACTAATTCAATCTGCTAAATTCAAACAGTGGCCTACCAACTGAAGTATAAAATAGCAAACGGAATATAAAAACAGAATAAATGCAATCTTAACAATTAAATGTTGCTCTCATCCCTAAACTGTCTCTGATGGATTTAGGCTTTAAGTACTTAGACTTGTTTAACACAACTTATTGAGCACCTGAAATCACATTTTGTTGAAGTTTTGGTTCACTCCAAGCCTCAGTAATTAGGATGAGTAAAGAAATTAATTGAACCTCCTTGATATCTGATCTTAGTCTACATACATTCATCATATACTTATATTAGAACCCCATAACTAATTCATGTTACAAAGGAATCCGCTTCATAATTTTGCTAAAACATATTCATGTGCTTTCCGATAGAACGTTTACTGAAGATGACATTGGAAGAGAGACGTAAGGAATATTTACGGGATTATGTACCCTTGAAAGATATTCCAACATGGAAGGAAGAAATGAAAAACAAAGCCCAAAGTGATGGTAAGTCATCTTATTAAATTTGTATCTGTACTTATGCTTTTAAATATCCAATGTACTGGCTTCTAAGTGTATTGGATCAAGCATCTCATAATTCGCAGCTGCTGGTAGAAGAAATTGTAACCCAACACATTTTGAGGGCACCAGAGTGATAAAAGCTGTCTTGTGAAGTTGTACATGATAGAACTGCTTACCTTAAACAGATGAAATAGGTTTTGTTACTTAACAATTTACTGAAGTCTAGGGATCCCCAATCTTTTTCAGCTATTGAGCACTTCTGGAATTTGGGGAATTTTGTCGGTGCTCTTACAAAACAAGTGCTATGAAACTTTGATAAGTTTCAAAATAACTGCTGTGAAGGATATATCCAATTTACCAAAATGACTCTTACCATTACTTCCATCTCTACTCCATACTACCTTTGTTACCCTTTGTGTACTTTCTGGACAGTGTCATATTTCCAACCAAAGCAACAAAGCTAATTTTTTTTCACCGATCTATTTATTTTCTAAGAAGGCATTTTATATCTATTTGAAGCATGGTAGCATTCCTGGAAATAAAAATAATGCTGCTAGTGCTTTGCTTTGCATTGTGTTTTTTATTTAAAATATAAGGTTGATAGGCTGGCAGCTGGTGGACAGAGGTGTGAATAACTATGACTAACTGTAATTGCAACCAAATATTGGCAGCTATGAAATGAAACTAAGTTTATGAAGTGGTTTCAATGAATAACCAGTAAAACAACACATGCCTTGCATTTATATCGGGATAGGAGTATATTTGAACATTTGCTACTGCTTGTTCTTGCAAATGCTAACTTTTATTAGAGCTAGTACATTGATTCACCTTCTTGCCTCTTAATCATAAATCCTTGTTTATGCAACTCTAAAAGGGCAATTGAGTGCAAAACACACATGGCATCATATTGCCCTGATTGTCATTGGGGTCCATCTTCTCAGGGTTTTGAGTAATATTATTTACATTTTGTAATGTTCTATAATCTCCCTAGAGTCTCAGTTTGGATGGTGTATATAATTTTTGGGTGGGGATATAATATAGTAATTATACTATATATAGTACATTTTTAAAAAATCAAATCCAACTCTTGTTTTTACACTTGAGTTAGAGATCAAAAACTTTTAAAAATAGCCTAGAGTAAAATAGCTATAAGAAATAGCAACAAAGCCAAGGTTGCAAATGACTCAATATCTAGCTTACTGTAGTATTTATGATCAATTTGTTTTATTTTGATTTTAACCGTGACAGTACAGGAGTTTGCTATCTTATGGGTTACAGTCCATACTGAAAACATTGTGACTGTGATGATGCTTGGCAAGCCATAAAACAATGAAGAGAGATGAGGCTTAGCAAGCAAGATGTCTATGCACCCATGTTTGGATCTGCAGTTTTAGTGCATTCAAGGACTTGCAGTTTTGATATCAATCTTGCATTCCAGGAAATTATAACTAAAGAAGATTACTCTAGATAGAGAAGCATCAGTTTTGTTTTTGCTGTATTATTTATATAGGAATTGCACAGATACTCAGGACAAGCAGTTCTCATTAGGGAAACTGAGGTTAATACTTGCCGGAGAAGGCTACATTACAGCTAAACAAGTCCTCTGAGTCATGTTCAAGCCTGGTCACCAGATGGACACATCCTTGTTGTATTCTTGGCAATAGAATAGAAGCAGTTTACCATACTGCATCACTGTAATGAGTATTACTAGCTGCCCAGAGTCGCTGTACAGAGTGAGAGGACTGGCGTATAAATTTAATAAATAATACATAAAATAGAAGATGCTCACATTAAAAAATTTAGTGAAGAAATTCCTGTTTAGGAAATTAAAATAGCTACCATTTTACTGCTAATTTTTTTTCCAGCAGAGATTACTTTTTGGGGTCCTTCTTGCTCTCTGAGCTTGCTTGTTTTCTTGCCCAAACTAGGTAATATCATGTAACATCATGTTATCTAATTTGGGTAATGAAACATCTGCAAGAAAATAAGCAAACTCCAAAAGCACCAAGGACCCCTCACTTCAACCCTGAGCTACAGATATTTAAATTTCATTAAGTATTGACAGGAATTGCAATCAAATGTTTAAGATCAGAGTGGAAAAGAAGTGATAATTATTCAAAAGCTGAATTATTGCTCCATCCTGTGGAAATGTCACATTAGTGTTGTTGTGTCCTGAGCCTGCTGAAGCATTCAGCAGGCTCAGAAATGTTGCAAATGGTCCCAGGCAAACCAAAAGGCGCAAAAAACCCAGCCGTATTTTTATTGGCTGACACTGTCCGGGTTTTGGACACTATAAAAGGCCTGTGCGCCTTTTGCTGGTTGCTGGTTGTGAGAAGAGATCAATAAAAGAAGCTTGTTCACACAATGTGTGTCCACTTAATGCCTCGACCCTGCAAACATAAAAAGTATATTTGGTGTAAATGGTCTTATCAAACTAGTATCTTACAGCATGACAACCAACAATGAATAGGAAATAGAACCAAGGAGATTTAGGGGATTTTGTCATTATTTTACTAAATAGAGAGAATAATGCTAAAGCTATCATTGATATTTAAATATAGGATGTCCTTTCTTATTCTTTTTAGCCTCTTCAGGACAAATGCCTCATTACTTTTTGAATTCTGGTTAGCTGATCATAATTATTGACTCTAGTGGCTTCTGCAATTTCAGTAGTATTTGGGCAGAGTAAAAATAAGGCTGGAAGAAAGGGTTCTCTTTAAACAGTTTGGTGTTTTTTCTAGTGAATATAGTAATCTCCTTTTTTGGCTTCTCATGATGATCTAATGTTGATATGGCAGTAACCTAGCAACAGTACTTAATTATTGCTACTAATACTCTGTGGCCACCAATAGAAGTTGGAGAGGACCAGAGGCCAAAGAAAAGGGTAAAGATGCAATACTAACCATACTAAGTCATGTTGTAAAATGTAGTTTAACAGTCCATACTGGCTTGATTTGCACACAATGCTACGCCATCTATGGATTTACATATCATACTTAAATCAAAACTAAACAAGCTATACTATGGCTTATTTTAATATGTGAATCCAGCTAAACAACACAGATAAATTTGCTAATTGCTGTTTTTCAGTTCTGGAATTCAGGGCTACTTGACATGCTACAGTTTCCTTATATGAAAAGATGTAGTAAAAGTCTTCCCCCCCACCATCCAGTCACAACTGATGAAGTTTCTTGGATGAGAAGCGAAACGTCGTCTTTTTCTTCCTCAAGGAAAAAGCAGTCCAGTTGCCTTTAGAAAAAGCACCTTTGAGACAATTATGACCTGGATGACTGAGAATCTCCATAGACATTTACAAGTCTACATGTTTACAATGTACATGTAAAACAGAGTAATTATATGAAGACTTCCTATTCCTTCCTGACAGGTGCTTCTCAAAACATCAAGTCTTTAATTCAGTTGAGAAGACACCTCCCTCCCTCTCTCTCTCTCTCTCTCTCTCTCTCTCTCTCTCTCCCCCCCCCCCATTTTAATACTGTTTTTACTCCAAAAATTGTTGTCAGATGTTTTTAATATTTGTGTACTTCCCTTGATACTAGATCTCTTTGTCCAGATTTTAAACAGCTAGGTTCTAGCTTAAATCCAACTTCTGTCATCTTAGCTTTCTCTGAACTATCAGCATTTTTACTCATCCTTTTAATCCTGGAATGTACAAACCTTGCTTTGAGCGGTTTTCTTTGTGCACGGTTGTGGTGAAGATGTGACAGTTACTGCCAACAGTAAATGAACAGTGATATTTGTAGGTCATAGAGGCAGACAGCTTTGTTCCTATTTTCCTGTGCAATATGTGGACATTGTTTAAGTTGAGAGCTGTGTAGTTTTTGCCCTTCAAATGTTGAACTCAGAGGTCAGACCAAATATCATGAAGCTGTGTTCAGGGTTGTAAACCAAACCAAAGCAAACTATTATGGCTTAATGTGATGGCCTAGTTCATTCAATATGCTAATAGTGAATGTGATTGATAAACTACTATTTATGGCTTAAAGTGTTGTATGTATGAACATAGTCAGCAACAGAGTCTCCATCCAAGTGCTTTATGCGATGCTCAGGCTTCTAAATCTCAATGTGTTTTACATAAATGGCATGCATCCCACTCTGATTGTATCAGTTTTCTTTTCCAGAAAACCTACTGTGTTTTATCAAATTGACAACATCGGTTCTCCCCCCCCCCCATAATGGAGCTCAGATTGGTGTATATACACTCACTCCTTGTTCTGTTCTGTCAATTAGATCATTAAGCAAAATGGTCACTAAGTGAACATGTGAAAAAGAGATGCTGCAAAGATCCCTGGCATTTTCATTCCATTCAGTTACAGGTAGTTCTTATGACTAGTTGTTTAGTGACCGTTTAAAGTTAAGATGGACCCTCCAAAACATACTTACGACCTGCTTCTGATGGCCACATTCTCTCCCCCCCACATTATGTGACTGCATTTCAGGTTCTTGGCAGCCAGCCTAGATTTACAGCTGTTTGCAGTGTCTCATGATTACATGACTGTGATTTACTATGTTTTTGCCAAAAGCGTGCATTTATTTCAGGTCTTTAGGAAAAACATCTGATAGCAAACCATGGGTTTGCTTAATGAGTATGGCAGTGGCTTCCAACCTTTTCTATACCCCACACCCCTAGAACACTTCTGATATATTCTCGCACCCCTTACAAAAGTTTAAAATAACGAATTATGTATATACACTATAATTTTGAAACTTCTAAACCCAGGTTTTTGCACCCCCTGGAATATTGTCTCACACCCCCAGGAGGTGCGAACACCACCGGTTGGGAGCCCCTGGACTATGGCATTCACTTAATGAGTATGGATTCACTTAATGAGCATGGTGATTTGCTTAATGGTCACCGCAAAAAGGCATAAAATCAGGTCGGTGATATGATTATCTGCTTTTTGACCATCATGACTTGCTGCTTTAATGGGGAGGCTCCATTATGGTTGTAAATCAGGGACTACCTG